GGGGGGGGGGCCTTTTGGTTCGAGAAAAACAACAAACTTTTTAAGTTTCTTTTAGGAAAAAGAAAGATCCTTATCTATTTTGTAGAATATTTTTTTAATGAGAAACCATACTTTATGAAAGAATAGGCATACAAATAAAACAACCCTCCAAAAAGAAGCTAAACTAACATAGAAAAGGGATCCAATAAGCAAAATGAAAACTTACGTGGATTAGAAAAGGGATCCAATAAGCAAAATGAAAACTTACGTGGATTTACAAAAATTCTTATACAACAATGCCAAGAGGGAGAGATGGAGCCTACAAGGGACCAAACCTCCCCAAAAAAAGAAGACCTTCCAATAAGACCTGTCAACCCCACTAAAAACTCTATTGTTCCTCCCACCCCAAAGGCATCATAAAATAGTGCAATTGCCAGCAAGCTACAGAAGACAACCCTTGTTACGAAAGTGTGAGTGAAGCAAACACTCCTCTAGCATGAACCTACAGTCTTTAGGCTGGACCAAGCTAGGACTGAAGGACCGAAAAAATAAATAATTCCAAACTGACCAAGCAAAATCACAAGTCCGCAAATAATGATTGAGGTCCTCAGCTGCTTCCCTATAAAGAACACAACATTTTGGCCCTATCAAGCTAGCGGTCTACTTCATATCCAATCTAAGGTATTAACTCTACCTTCATGAAGAATCCTATTGTTTTGTGGTTTGTATTTGTCCAAATTGTTCAAACCTTTTGATAATTACAACCTCTTAAACTCCTTGTGCTATTTGGAACTTTTTAAACTTCTTTACCTTGGATTGAGCTTTTGACCCCTATTCTACATATTCATCCGTTCATCAAACATACTTTCATATCAAGAAAGAGAATAAATCTTGAACATACTAAAGGGTTGAGTTGAGCTTTCAAAACTCGGATGGGCTTCAAGTTACCAACCTTCAAAACATGGACACTATAGAATTGGTACAGCTCTAACCAACGGACTTAGTCCTTTTAATACTTAGGATACAATCCTAACTACACAGGCACATATTATTGAAGATCATTGTTTTTAAGGAAAAAGGCACGAACCAGGGTCTTTTACACAGAGAAATATATGGTCTGCAGTAATAGAAACTAAAGAACGTCCTGCTGCTTCTGTTGAACGCTGCCAATGAAAACAAGAAAGAGAGAGATGTGTGAGACTTTTCCATATCATATTCAAAAGTACAATTCAAAGAGTAGAGTAAATGATAACCTGTTGAGCCTTCATATCCACATCTCCTCTATTTAGACAAACATACAATCCCGTCAAAAAACGAAGGAAGGCACGAAGTCCTGTTGATGCCATAGAAAAATCCTATCAGCATGATAGATCACCATCATACAACACCTTGTTCACATTGTGATCAACTGAGCTAACAGCCAAATGATTTAAAAACCTGGTTCACTTAAGGCTGGGCATACAGCTTCTGTAATATGTAAATTCACCTCGAGACCAAGTGGACTGTTTAGTTCGGTCCTTTGCAATGTTATCTACTCATGTTTACAAAACGAAGTGTATCAGGAATGCAAAACCATCCTAATTATAGAAGCTGCTCTCTAAGATTGCACCATAAATACAAGTTCATCAAGAATCAAACCGAAACATCAGATTTGTATTACATTAGCTTCACCAGATATCCCTTCAATAAATCGCTCTCCACCAAAGAAAACACGCTTAGCACCATCATCATCCCTACTAACTGCTCCCTCTTTAGCACGAGCGAAAGTAGCATCAGCGAACATATCCGGATGAGGCAGAAGATCAATTGACAAAGATTCCCATTCAAGTTTCTAGTATCAAGAGGAATTTAGCATTACAAGTCACTGAACATAACATCATTTCATGTTAAGTTGAAATTTGACGCATGCACAGAGAGACAGGCCAGTACTTAAAAACACGTTCTCTACGAATGATGAACCAATGCTTTTGAAGGTGTTTGAGGCTCACTCCTTCAGGATCACCTTAGAGTGAATTTTTAATTTGTAGCCTTAGTTTTACGGCTTCTTTGGATCATAAGAAGCTAACATCTCTTATGGAAGAGGCATTTCCATAAGAACACATTTACGCTTTGAGTTTATGACTTGAAATGACTAGACGAGGGTAACAATTTATCATATTCTTAAAAAATATTAGAATTCACTCAGCTGTTTAATGGCAATACATACAAAGTGAGAAATTTAGCCCATCAACAATTTACTACGAAGGTTTACAAAAATTTGAAGACAAACTAAAAAGAAAGTAGATTCTAGTGTTAATAACGATGATGTTGGGAATGGTGAACGTAGTTTTAATGATACATAGCCTATACATGATTCTCTTCTATGCATTTCTTCTTTTTTCTTTTTTCTTTTTTTTTTTTTTTTTTTTTTTTTTTTTGTAAAAGTGAAGATTGAAGAACAAGCAATTAGCTAGTGCTTTCAAAACAAAAGAACGGTGAGATAAATTTTGGCGGGAAGGAAAAATGGAGGTCGGCGGAGGAGGAGATGGAGGTTTTAGTCCTCGCGCCAGCGTAGAAGACATACAGAGACGGCTGCTTCGACCGTCGTCGATTCACTCACCACCTCCGACGCCGTCAATCTCGATATTCTACTTATTTCTCCATCAATTTCACTAGTAATGTTTTTTAATCTCCTTGAGACCTGAACTTCTAGAATTTCTCATGTTTATTTCCAGGTTTTCTCGCGGCAAAGATGTTCAAGGTCGAAATTCATCGCAGTTCGAGGCGAATGCCATGGGGCTTTATCGTAANTTTGGGGGGGGGGGGGTAAGAAACCACACGTTCATTAGGAGAAATGAAAGAATATATACAAACAAAAGCCTCACCAATACATTTTTTATCTAAGCTTAAGTCACATCTGATAGTTCCTCAAGCCTTACTCTTTGCCTCCTCCAAAAAAGTTAAGGCCACTTTTACACTTTCATAACATTGTTATAATCTAATAAATGTAATTACAGAAAAAGAAAAGAGGAAAAGTGTACACCAAAATAAGTTAAAATTGTCATTATTCTAATTTTTCTATGGTAAGCTAAAGACATTCTTTATGAGCTTCAGTGGTTTCCAAAGTTTTCTCCTACTTTTGTTCCTTTTCATACATTCAATGAAAATATAGTTTCTTGCTCAGAATAATATAACCTAAAATCCAAATAAACCCATGCATAGAAGCTAGAATTACCTTGAAAACATATATAAATTTCTTATTTGCAGAGAAATCACGGGCTTCCTTAAGATTGACCACCTATGATGGAAAATTTGTTAGAAAATATATATTGTCACTAAAAATATCAGCCACACCGATGTAAAACATCCACCTGCCAATTTTCATTTGTGGTATACAGCAAAAGGTTGCGTATAGTGATAGATGCCAAAGGTGAAGCCCTACAAAGGGGGAAGCAAAAAAGGAAATAACATGAGAGCTAAGTACTAACACAATATTTAACAGATTTAAACCTAAAAATCATAACTGAAAGCTTCGTAGGACTATATAACTAGATGTGGCCTTTTACTTAGTTCAATGCACAAGCAGTAGGCAGGCACAATATTTTGTGGCTAGTGTATGTCATCATTTTGCCGATTATCTTTCTTATAGGTGAGGCCATGTAAGAGGATTAGATACAGAAAGACGTGTGGATAAATAAGCTGACAGTCTCCCAATCTTCCATCCGCTGCCAATAGTCACATGCAGACCATAACCTCATCTCTTTAAACTGAAATCTTTACAACTCAAGGATATAGTTGTACAACCTAGTAGAAAAGATACTGTTCTAGTAAGGTCACTGACCTCAGCTCTTTAAACTGCAATCTGGAACTCGGATGTTGTTAACCAAAGGCCAGATCCTTAAAAATCGGATTACATATTCTGACCCTCGAACCTAAAAAGTTACGTCTTTCTTTGTGCCTTTGGTCAAAAAATTTGTCCGGTCCTTCTAGGTTATTTTAGTTGTATGTTGGGAGATTTTGAAAGAAAGTATACTAACTTCCTTTTATTTCTCTTTGAGAATGCTAGGACTAAACTTGAGTGTGGGATGGGGTTCAGTTTTCTGTATCCAGTTCTCTTTCTCTCTTCTCTCTCTATCTCTAAGGAATATTTCCGTCTTGATTCATTCATACAGATGTTAGCAAGAGTTACACAAAAATTATGGTTTAAATACTATTGCTACTTCAATGATCCTTTATAAATAAAAATAAAAAAAGAAAGCAAAAAATTCCTCCTTTTACTTGTACATATTTTTCCATAATGATATATATATTCTTGTATCAGAGAAAATAAAATAAGAATTAAGAAGTTTAAATACAATATTCTCCTCGCTGAAATCATAAGTCACGGATTGAACTATAGCTAACAAATTAATTGACTGGGTGCTCATCTATCACACTGTATTCGCATATGCTGAATGGAAACCATACATGCAAAAGTTCACATGCATACAGCTATCGTACAAGTAACAAAATAGGGGGTGGGGGGAGGAGGAAAGAGAAACAGGGAATGAAGAATAAAAAAAAATCAGGAAATAAGCAAAAGATTCACCAAGTTGCTCCTCCTTGATGTCGCGATCCACCACCAGTTTCAAGTAGCAAATTGACAGTGCGAACCTCTACTGTCATTCCATCTGCAATCTATTACATACAAAAAGCTCCACAATCTAAAAATATATATGAATGTGGAATGTAAATGAAATATAAGTGCCAAAGAGGGGGGTGAGGGCGTGAATTATTGGCATCAAAACTAAAAACTTACAACATCTAACATCCTTTCATGTTGCTGCTTCCCCAATAGATATGGAGATACCATATAATTGTAGAAACTAAAATCGGAGGAAGCTAAATGGTAATACAGATGCCCAAAGAAAATTCATATTCTTTTGTGGATCATGGTCAATGCTAGTCTCAACACTTTTGAAGTTTTACGAAGGAAACTCCCTTTCAATTTTCTTATGCCATCGGTTTGTTCTCTTTGCTGATTGGATGGGAGCACTCTTAATCACGTCTTTTTTAATGGCATCTATTCTTGAGCTTGTTGGCGAGTTATTTTCTTTATTTAATCTTCAGTGGGTTCTTTCTAACATTTTCAAATGTTCGTCATTTTCTTTTTGGTCCCTCTTTGATTCCAAAGGCAAATGTTTAATGGAGCAATTAAAAGCCTTTTATCAGAATTGTGGTTGGAAAGGAATCAAAGGATCTTCCAAGACAAGCATCTCTTTTGGCTTGATCGTTTTTAATTAGCTCGTTTGAAAGCCTCGCCTTGAAGTTCTCTATCAAAGTCTTTGGACAGATTTTCTATACAAGATATTTCTCTAAATTGGAATGCTTTGTTTTTGTTTTTCCTTGGTTGCTCTTTCTAGTTTAGGTTATACTTTTATTGCTTTTTGTTTCACTACCTGATGGAGTTTGTATCTTTTGAGTATTAGTCTCTTTTTATTTCTTCAATGAGACGTTTCATTTCTTGCTTCAAAAAGGAAAAACTAAAATCAGAAGAAGAAGAAAAACTTAAGAAATCGGCTGACAGGAAAAAGAAACAGTCCATCACTGATTTATAAACAAAAAACCGAAGGCCCAATACTAATCACTTTTCAAGAGATTGCATATCATGGGGTGAAATTTTCCAAATCTAGAATGAAATTATGCACATCCCACAAATTTCATGAAATGCGAATGGATCAGTCAAACCATTCATTGTTAGAGAACTATTAAATAGATTTAAGATAACTTAGCACTTTTGAGTTTAGTGAACCGGAATGATTTCGCAAAAGTGTTTTACCTTATCAGCAAATCCATAACCACCACCCTTCACGGTGCTGGAAGAAGTCTGACTACTGCAAGTTATAAAAGCAAAGGCTCAGTTCTAACTAACTGTGATCAGATAAGCATCCTTCCAAGGTTGATACATAAAGTTCGCAAAATGGTACGAAGCAAGGAGCAGGGGGAGGGGCAGAGAAACGAATTGAGGCATGTGAATTACCTACTATTGCTTCTACCCACATCTGCATCTGGATTCTCCTCTAAAACTAAATCCAATTTATCTATTTGCACAAGGACTGGTTC